TGATTGGGTCTTATCAGTCATGCAAAGCAGAAACATGATGCTGTTTTGGAATTTCATTAAAATCTGCTACCCGCTTACACCAGCACGTGCATGTCCATCGTATGTGAATGGGCACTTGCGTTTTCAGTCGTTTTAATACAGACGGTGATCAATTCTGATACGCAGCTCAAACGCTGGTGTGGACGGAGGCAGTTTGTCAGTTTAAAACTAGCAGTAGTGTGGATGTAGCCTTAACAGCGCTCAGCTAAATTCAGCTACACTCACCAGGTGATGTCGGAAGGTCTTCTCGTACTTCATGTATTTAAGGCAGTACTCGCAGATCCACAGCTTGGGCTGCTTGCCATAGTCCTCGGGAAACGGCGAGAAGTACCAGGCATCGATCTCAAAGTTTCCTATCTGGATCTTATCCACATATTTCACTTTGGTGATCTGAGGATGGCAATGCGGGAAGTTATTTTCATCACACAAAGATGGCAAAACATCATAGCAGTTTAACAGACAATATAAAAACATCAGCCAGTTTAACAACATGATGCAGAGGACACAGCGGGACTGGACTGAACATAAAGAGCAGCAGAACAAGGTAATTATATCTTCTTTACTTTCCACACACAGAAACTCCACCTTACCGCCTCATGCTCCTTCTCCAGGGCAGCTGTTGTTGGGTCCATCTCTGCATACGTCTGCAAAGGAAAACTCCCATTAGATAAATATCAGCCATTTAATGCATAAAAAAGTGTGACCACAAGCAGCACGAAATAACTGTGTCTCACACCTTCTGTACATGGTTGATCTCGTCGTGTTTGCGCTTTTGGTTGCGAGTGATCTTCCTTTCAGGCTGTTCACCCAAATCACCGACGCCCCCGATCTCTGTGCTCTTCCTCACTGCATCCTTCACAGTCTTGGTAAGTGCCAGGCGGGCTTTACCCACCCACTCATCCAGGCGCCTGTTGACTGCATGCCAAAGAAAAGGAGATTAAGATCATAGTAAAGCGGTAGGTGAGGGGATCGAGAGGGTATGGGCAAATTAAGCAAGGTATAAAAAGAGGAAAAATGAGGGTGTAGCAGGCATAATATCAAAGAGAAACATGAGACACTTTGTGTAGATGTAAATGTTCACGAACTAGTGATGTACTCACATCCTACATAGTGAACATAGAACTCCTCTCGGCCCTCCTGCTCGTTCAACCGGGACTGAATAACCTCTGCTGTATCTGAAAAGAGCAAGATACATCAGTTAGTGAGAGGTCTTCATCTGTTAACTGTAAATGCAAGCTTTGTACTCTCCTGGATGGGACGCCTCGCCAAACTCCATTCAGATTTCTACGGCTCGAATGACTCCTTGCTCATAAGCAAAAACACTTCTTGGTATTCGCCTGATAAAAATGTGGCCTGATATGTTTTGAGCTATTATTCAATTCGGCAATCACATAAATCCTCCAAACAGTAACGTTAGCTCATTTATTACAGTGAAATCTCAACTTTTAGAACAGGCTTGCACGCTGTTTGCACTGTTATGGTTTTATCAGCCAGCACAGCGTTACGCCGCATTTTTCCAGAAAGCCCCAGTGACCATTCGTAAATCACAAATGGTTGAATGGCGTCTAAGAGCCACTTACTTTTCAAGACAACCCAGACTTTTAAATAAAAAAAATAAAAAAAGGAGTTTGGTGTAAATTTCTCCACAAACAAAGGAGGAGTCCGCCAACTTGTGACGTTAACCTGCTAACTTAAATAAAATCAGAGTGAAAAAGAGGCCTCACTCACGCCATGTCTTGTCGGCTCGTTGACATAAATACGTTTCTCCAATTTCTACCGACACCTCTTGCTCCCTGCCGCCGCAGAACACCCCGCCTCCGTCCTGGATGTGCTGACTACTACAGCCCCCGGCTTCTCTCGTACGTCCAACGGCCTCCGCCTCGTCCTCCTCCCCGCCACTGCCGTTAGAGGAGCACGCAGCCGGGATACTACTGTCCAGATCCCCTCGCTCACTTTCCATATGACTGGAATCCATGTCTACATCCATTCTGGGTTCGAAGTCCTTGTTGTTGTTGTTGTTGTTGTTGTAGCTTTTGTGAAAGTCGGTCCCGCCAGTCATAACCTCGGCGGTTTTTAAAAACAGTCGCACGCCTCTGCGACCCTGCGCAGTTTATTCAGAGGGGCTGGTCTTCAACAAACTGCCGTCAAGATGGCGTCGGTGGGACGTTCCGTTCTCTCCTTCTCTCCTTCTTCATCGTTCAACTACAACTCCCATGAGTCTTAGCACTATGTATGGGCTGATATTTGTGCCAATAGAATCTGAATTTGATTTGCTCAGCTTGAAAAGTTCAAAAGTTCTTTGAAGTCCTACATACAAAAAAACAACAACAAAAAAAAAACACCTGAGCAAGGAATGCGACCTGACATATACAGGTGCTGGTCATAATTAGAATATCATCAAAAAGTTGATTTATTTTAGTAATTCCATTCAAAAAGTGAAACTTGGATATTATATTCATTCATTACACACAGACTGATATATTTCAAATGTTTTTCATTTAATTGTGACAATTAAAACTGACAACTAATGAAAATCCCAAATTCAGTATCTCCAAAAATTTTGAATATTACCTAAGACAAACACACACAAAAAAAGGATTTTTAGAAATGTTGGCCAACTGAGAAGTATGAACATGTACACAAAGTACAAGGATGTACAGCACTCAATACTTAGTTGGGGCTCCTTCTGTCTGAATTACTGCAGCAATGCGGCGTGGCATGGAGTCCATCAGTCTGTGGCACTGCTCAGGTGTTATGAGAGCCCAGGTTGCTCGGATAGTGACCTTCAGCTCTTCTGCATTGTTGGGTCTGGCGTATCGCATCTTCCTCTTCACGATACCCCATAGATTTTCTATTGGGTTAAGTTCAGGCGAGTTTGCTGGCCAATTAAGAACAGGGACACCATGGTCCTTAAACCAGGTACTGGTAGCTTTGGCACTGTGTGCAGGTGCCAAGTCCTGTTGGAAAATGAAATCTGCATTTTCCATAAAGTTGGTCAGCAGCAGGAAGCATGAAGTGCTCTATAACTTCCTGGTAGACGGCTGCGTTGACCTTGGACCTCAGAAAACACAGTGGACCAACACCAGCAGATGACATGGCACCCAAACCATCACTGACTGTGGAAACTTTACACTGGACTTCAAGCAACGTGGATTCTGTGCCTCTCCTCTCTTCCTCCAGACTCTGGGACCTTGATTTTCAAAGGAAATGCAAATTTTACTTTCAACAGAGAACATAACTTTGGACCACTCAGCAGCAGTCCAGTCCTTTTTGTCTTTAGACGTCTTGAGACGCTTCTGACGCTGTGTCTTGTTCAAGAGTGGCTTGACACAAGGAATGCAACAGCTGAAACCCATGTCTTGCATACGTCTGTGCGTGGTGGTTCTTGAAGCACTGACTCCAGCTGCAGTCCACTCTTTGTGAATCTCCCCCACATTTTTGAATGGGTTTTGTTTCACAATCCTCTCCAGGGTGCGGTTATCCCTATTGCTTGTACACTTTTTTTCTACCACATCTTTTCCTTCCCTTCGCCTCTCTATTAATGTGCTTGGACACAGAGCTCTGTGAACAGCCAGCCTCTTTAGCAATGAACTTTTGTGTCTTGCCCTCCTTGTGCAAGGTGTCAATGGTCGTCTTTTGGACAGCTGTCAAGTCAGCAGTCTTCCCCATGTGTAGCCTACAGAACTAGACTGAGAGACCATTTAAAGGCCTTTGCAGGTGTTTTGAGTTAATTAGCTGATTAGAGTGTGGCACCAGGTGTCTTCAATATTGAACCTTTTCACAATATTCTAATTTTCTGAGATACTGATTTTGGGTTTTTTATTAGTTGTCAGTTATAATCATCAAAATTAAAAGGAATGAACACTTGAAATATATCAGTCTGTGTGGAATTAATCATATACATTATACAGGTTTCACTTTCTGAATGGAATTACTGAAATAAATCAACTGTTTGATGATATTCTAATTATATGACCAGCACCTGTATATAGTAATTGTAAGTCGCTTTGGATAAAAGCGTCAGCTAAATGAATAAATGTAGTATCACAATGTTCTTAAATTAGGCAGTAAGTACTCAATATGCAGACAAATAAAGTTGGTCAAAGAGTTATATTTTATAACTTCATTATTATTGATGTATTAACATGTAGCTGGCCATGGTGGAGCTGATTTAGCTACTTTATATAGGGTTTTACAAATGTAAATTGCAAAGTAACCAGTGAATTTATTCTGCATTCATGTGGTGTCAGAATAACTGGAAAAAAAGATTTCGCGACTGGGGAAAATTCACCTGCCCACCAAAATCAGAACACGTCGGAGAAAATTTTGCTACATGAGTTGCAGAGTTGTTGCCATCATACATGTAGAAACATGGCGGCCAACATGGTTGATGGTTAGAAAGGGTTAAATAATAGAGCAAAATCACGTATTACATGTACATATTTGCTAAGGTGTCATTTGTAATATGGTGTTAGTTTTTAACGGTTAGTTTTGCTGTCCATGTAGAGTGAAGTAGATTAATTAGGAACGTTATTTATTATCAGTATTTGCAGAACAAGCAATATTTTAGTCGTGTCAGGTAATGTATTGGTATAGGAACAACTCTGGGAAACAAAAATAATTAATTGTCTAAGCATAGTAATCCAACATGTTTATAGTATCACCCATGTTACATTTAATAATCTAGAAGACACTTTTATTCAAAGTGACTTAAAATTGTTATATATGTCAGAGGTGGCACACCTCTGGAGCAACTAGGGGTTAAATGTTAAATGAATTGGGACCATCCGAAGAGCACATGAATGCAGCATTAGTTGTCAGGCAAATGTAGTGGAGTAAAATGTGCAGCATTTCTCTGTTTAATGTAGTGGAACCACTGCGTCCCTCTGTCTTCTGGTAAAATTTCAGCATCATTGTAAACATATTTTAAAATCTCAAAATTACAGGAAATGCAGACAAAGTGAGATCCAGAGAAAATTTAATTTGTAATTCTTTGAATTCATATTGCATCACAACAAAAAGCAACAACCATCTGTGTCTGATATTAGTGTGCGTGAAAGTGCATACCAGAGAAGAGGATACTGGCGACGTAGAGGAGGATATGATACTACGGTGAATGTCACTTCTGGTGCAGGGCTTTAATCTATGCAAACTGATAATGGAGGCACACACACGTTTGTTCATTGGCCCTCCTGTTGCCCTTTGTCATAGTACCTCCTCTCTTTCCCTCTCCTCCACCTTGTGTTGGAAGCCCCTGCCGTGACCCCGGCGGGGCCCCCCTCCTCCTCTGCTGTACAGGTTATTGGCCCCTCCCCTGCTTCTTGAAGCTCGCCCGTCCCAGTGGTAGTGAGCAGCCCCCATGTGCGGGACGTATCGGTGAGGACCCCTTCTCCTTCCACGATGACCACGACCACCTGCGGCATCTTCTGGGCCTTCAGTTTCCACGGCTGCATGGCACGTCGGCTGATCGTCTGGAGACACCAGAGTCTGCTCGGCGTAGACGTCCCTGCCTGTCTTGGACTGAGATAATTCTCCATGTTCTAGCATCTGTTGGCCGTGGCTACCCTCAGTTTTGGCTATTACTGGTCCTTCAGTGTAGTGTGAGGACAGAGAGAGTTTGTCCAGGTGCTCTGTGATGGGGGTGGCTCTCCTGTGATGTGGTCTGGACCTGCCTCCTCTCCTCCCCCTCGCCTGGTTCTGGCGCCTCTGGCCCTGACCCCCTCTGCAGTGGGACAGTCCAGGAACAAACCGGTCCGCTCTGACACCAGTTTCATCAGAGGAAACGTTAGAAGCAGAGGGTACCGGGGGGTCAGGAGAAACATCTGCATCCAGGTTTCCGTTTTCAGCCACAGATGGAGTCTGTGGGAGTTGTACACAGTATATAGGAACAGTCTTAATAAGGCAGAATGTCAGTTGCATGAAGGTGTATTTTTCCCACTTCTGAGAGTGCTAAGCAAGTAGTTTGCACCAGCTTTTTGTGCTAAGCTAAGCTACAGGAAGCCCAGACGTCACGGGCCTTATATTTTCTTTGCTGTCAAGTACAACTGAAGTTCAATGTGTTTCATTTCTTCAACAGATTTTGTAGGCTGATCAAGATCAACTTTTTATCCAGTTCCTATCTTGACTACAGTGAATATAAAAATATTTGATACAAAACCATATTACAGAAAGTTCCTATCTTAAGTCAAGATAGGAAGAGTCTAAGATAGGATTTTTCTCAATTTTGTATTACAGAAGAAGGTTAGGAAATCCTAAATACTCAATCCAACATCGGTTATCAACATTTATGTCTGTTGCCTAGCAACCGATGCTACTTTTCTCATTTCGCCGAGCTAAACGGCTTTTAATCGCTGTTTTTTGGTAGTTTGTTTATGAAACATGCACTGAAAATGGAGCAGAAACAACAACAACTATCACTGAACTTGAAGTCAGATGAATTAGAGGTGTTTGTAACCTCTGTCGAGAAATCCAAATCCACATAACGCTTAACTCGGGAGATTAAAGAGAGAGAGAGTGGGCTAAAATAGCGGACACAGTTTCTGCCGCATATCCGGCATGCTGTCAAAAAGAAAAAAAGTCGATTTACACTGATATGAAGACAGGCAAGTGTTGTGTCCAATAAGCAGATGAAACCGCTGGTGGCTCATCCTGTGCTCCCTCACAGACCCCGGCAGAAGGTTACTGTTCTCAGGAAAGTTAATAATGATGGTAAAAAAAGGGCTAATAATAATAATGATGAAGGCTGCAAGCTAACATCTTCACATTGAAGCTTAATAGTTCTCCTAAGATTTTACAAAGTTAGGATGCTTCTGTAAAACACTTTTCTTATCTAAAGTTAGGAAAGTAACACTGACTTAATCTGTAATGGCCTTTTTAAAAAAAAAAAAAAATCAGTTCCTAACCCTTATTACCATGGTTACCAAGCAGTTAGGATAGGATCTGCCGGTTAGGAAGTTTCTTTAATACGGCCCCTGGGGCCTAAAACTCTAATTTATATAGAGTCACTTTAAGATGGGGTAAGCGTTTCTGGAGAAATGCAATACCATGACAAATACCATGATATAGAGCCAACGGCGACAGAGCAAGTAATGTAGCTAACGTTAGCTAAGTTGTGGGTTAGCAAACTGCGGCTACAGTTGCTGCTGCAAAGCTAACATAAGGCTAAAATGGAAAGAGGACGAGACCGTCCCAGAGCCAGTACAGCAGGTCCAGACAGAGATACTCACAACTCTCCTGCTACTTTAGCTAACGTTACAACAACAGCATGTCTTGGTGAACCAGAAAGTAAACTTAACGCACGTGGACAAGTCATTAAACGTTACTGACACACATCATGGCTGGATCGGCTGAAATAGTGGGTGCAGGCCACTTTGTTTGTTTTCCCATTTACAGAGCCAGGGTTGAGTACAAACACCAGATTGTTTATTAGCACATGGAACAGACATCAAGCGGACAGCGCATTTTAGAGACACCCGAGCAACTAAAATGTGCAGACAGACCAGTTTAGTGACGCCCTCAGTTAATCACTCAGAGATCAGGTATGGGTGCAAACGTGGCCGTATGATCTGATTCATTCTTACCTCGTTGATATGGATGAGAAAGCGATTTGATTCCACCTCTGGGTCAATGATCCCTCCCTTAGACCTCTGCCTTTCCAAAAGCTTCTGGAGTTCACACCACTTCTGTTGAAAGTTTGAACCAATCGCTGCTTCGTCCAGCTGCAAAACCATTAACACGTTTTAATGTTTGGATTTTTCAGTTAAACTGTAGGGAATAAACGTTTATTCCTGACCGTGGAAAAGCTAAACTATCTCACCGCAGGGTCAAGCTACTAATGGACCATGTGGTGAGATTGTTTTGTGAAGTAAAGCTGAACATTAGGCGATGGTCGTACCTCGGGCAGCTGGGGTGCAGGGGACGACAGAAGCTGATCAACATCATACGTTAGAGGCTCTCTGCACACCGGACACACCACAGTCAGCTCCTGTGAGAGGAGTCACACAGATTAAATAGCTTATCAAGAAAGACACCGAAAGATTTCTTTGACCAGAACCCTGAAGCCGATACCTGACCTGATAGTCTGTCCTGTCTCTGGTCTTGTCCTCCTCCAGCTCCTTCTCCCTCTGGCGGAGCTCGCTCTCAGAGTGGCTGACGTAGCGACCGAGGCAGTGACAGTGGAAGTAGTGGTAGCAGCTCGTCTTGGTGAACGTCTCTCCCTCCTGAAGTCACACAGAAGCATGACTGGGTTTTAGGAACATTTCTAGAAATACCTGCCGACAAGAAACTGTTTAATCCTTCATTAAATTATTGTTTTGGCCACCTGACTTATGTTTAGACAGACCTGCTAACCAATCACAAGCGCCATGCGCCTCCTGTTACAGTCCTACTCACCAATCAAGATCGGGCACAGGGCGTGTACATTTTACAACAGAAACTGGACAAAACCGTGATAATGGCACCAGCCGAACCGACACAGGCAGCAGCTGTGCTGCCGTTTTGTCTGCTGTCGACTCACACTGACGTGTTTCAGCAGTGTTTAGCTGCCCAACGTTGTTGACGTGTTGTTAATTTGTGATTTTGTCTGCTTCAACTAAGGATAACAGCTCTCTGAGAGCCCCTTCCGCTCCGCTCGGTGCAGGCTACATTTCCCACATGGAGCATTTCAGAATAAGAGCATTTCACCTGCCTAATGTAGCTGACTTGGTCAGATTTTGTTGTTGTACAAATGTACTCACTGCGCATACATTTTCAAACAATACTATGGAAAAACAAGGCTGCACCCAACAACTATTTTCCTGATTAATGGATTGTTTGATCTATAAAACGCCAGAAAATTTGCATCAGTTTCCTAAAGCCTGAGGTAATGTCATCAAATTACCTGTTTTGTTTAACAAACAGTCCAAAATCCAAAGATATTTAATTACTACCACTTAAGACAAAGGAAACATCCTCAAAAATCTAACAATAAAGTCAAAGAAAACCAAGTTGAACAATGTTGACATCTTACTTGTCTGTAACAAAACTCACAAATCACTGGCAAAACAACATTATAAAACACTTTAAAAATCAGGGGTAAATACTGATTAAATATTCCATCTAGCCTTCTTTTCCAGGATTTTGAGACCAATTTAGCAAACTTGAACAAGCATCCTAAATTTTTATTCATCTGTACACCAGAATATTTCAGCACCATTTCATGAAACATTAAATCACTTAAATCATCATAGTTTGTTCAATACTAAAGAAAAGCTTACAAGTTACCCAATTTTTTTTTTTCTGTTCCTGAATATTTTTTGAATCTACGAACCTCAATGGCCAGAGGAAGATGTTTGTTTTCTAGATCAGCGGTTCTCTCTAAGTGGGGTCTTGGGACCCCCCAGGAATCCTTGAGGAGGTTCCAGGGGGTCTCCAACAAAAAAGGGGCTCATTTATTTTCCTTATAATTCCCTCCATAAGTAATACAGTGACAGAACGTATGAGTACTTGGGTCACGGGGTTTTATACACTAAAACATCTAAAAGCAAACATCCTGTCAGACGAGGTCTACTTTGTGTCAAGAGTCAGGAAAGGTAGGCAGGGAGTAAGAAGTAAAAAGGCTGATGAGATAACTTCCAATATGTTTCTCGTTATAGCGGGTCTGATGGGACAGAAGACAAGAGGAGTGGTGCACCTTAAAGCCATAGAGGCAGATGACACAGTTTCCATGAGGAATATTGCTCTCAGTCAGGATTTCTTTTGCTTTCTGGAGGAGGAAAAAAAACAGGAGAATAGGCCATGACTTTAAGCTGATCATTACCTTAATGTAGTAATTCAATAATCAAATTAAATCATATATTCTCTTAAATTATATAAATTAAAAAGCACTATATACAGTGACCTCAATGAGCTGATACAACACAGGTGAACCCAGACAGGACTGAGCCTCCAACTGAAGACACTTCTGGACACTAAGAGAAAGGAGGTCGGCACATGATTATAGGATTTTACAATCAAAATTTCAAATGTCCTGAGCAGAAAGTGGTGATACTGGTAGCTCCAGTTCGTTACCTGCTGAGCTTGTCATCAGAAAGACCCCGCGGGTTATGAATGGAGATGACCGGAGAAGATGACGGATACTAAGCATCCAAAAACAAGGACGAGAGAGACAAAGATTACTCTTGATCAAGTGAGACGGTGACATTCTGTATTTTCTTATGTTGTCATCAAGTCCCACAAAGAGACCAATAGGCTCGGAGCTGCCACAGACAGGAAGTCAGGAACTATTGAGAGACGGACTAACATGTTGCTGGCTTTGGTGCTTTTATGGGATTTAGCGACAATGACAGAAATACAGAATCTTTATATGACACATTACTACTAACATTTGTGGAGAAAAAATGTTGGCATCAGTGTGGCAAGAAACCACAACTTGTGTGTTGCCATTAGATTTTCATCTTGTAGCTTCTAATGCTTGTCATAATGTTTTCTCTTTATAAAGAATCTCAGTATTGCAGGCTGCACAGACACTATAAGATATAAGATAATGGAGAGCATACCTGCTGGTCGAGGGTCAAAGTCAGGGTGAGTCGGACAAATTGGGAGACAGAGTCCTCCGCAGTGGACGGGTACAGGACCAGACTCACCTCAAAGCCCCTGGAGGACACAACACAACAGCAGCTTTAACAACCACTTTTTAAAGACGAGAGTCACAGCACTGGAGCCAAAGAAAACGGGTAAAGTCTTTAAAATCCAGGCTGGTGTGTCATCAGATGTCAACAAGGCTGAAAACATTTGCTCTGTGCCAAAACTCTATTCAAAAATAAGTGCATTTAAAGCTATGAGACTTTTAAACTCAAGTTCATCCTCAGCACTGCTCCACTAAATAGAGTTTATAATTTTTATAATTGCTTTTATATTACTATACATTGTCTGCCACGCAGCAGAAGGGAGTTACAAACTTAACTTCACTTTACAACCTCTTGTAATGTGACAAATAAACAACCTTGCAACTGTCCATCACTACAGTACAGAGGACAGCTTTGATTTTCTGTATCATTTTTTGTTTTATTTGACAGCTGATTGTTTACACCACAGTATCTAGATAAATGCAATCAATGTGTGGAAATGTGTGATCCATATAAATAAAAATGATCTCCCCCTGTAATATATCTGCCACGCTGTTCTTTCTGTACACTGTTTATTCCATACCTATGTTTTTTTTTTTTACATCTATTCAGGTCAACTGTATGTTTGTCTACGTGTGGCACCTTATCACCAAAGCAAATTCCTCTCTCCAAGCGCTCTCTGATTCTGATCAGGTTTAGAGACACCAACATAAGAAAAATGAGAAACCAAAGCAACAAGATTTTGACAGGTGAAGTGTCAGCGATTCTTTCCGTGTCTAAATATGACTTGGTCACAATTTATCAGCTGACAGGCTCGTTGATTGGGGCACCCTTGCTGTTATTTGGGGCGCAGAATCTGCTGTAACACTTTGCAGAGGTGTGGTGCTGGGTGTGTGTCAAAGGTCAGGGTTTATGTAGAGCTAAAGAAAACACACAAAAATTTAGGGCCCTGTTAATCTCCTCTCTTTAGTGTCTTTACCTACTTGTATGAGCCCTCACATCTGTCCTGTCCTGCCAGGCACTAAATAACATTATCTCACAGCCGGATCTAATGAAGCAAAGTGACGTTCACGTTAATTTAGGCAAATTGTTGTCTCACCCGTCCTCTCTCCTGTTGACCAGCAGCTCGTCCAGGTAGATCGACTGCAGCACCTCAATTTCACACAGCACACTGCGGAGAAAACAGCACAGTAGTGAAGTTTGTACAGCTGCACGTCTGTGATTTGTTCTGACTCGTCAACGTCCACACAAATCAGGCTAACGTTAGCCTGTTAGCTCACATTGTGTTGCTAATTTGCGTTAGCTATAACGTTATATTACATTTAATCAGATTTCACTCAGCGGCCGTCGCTGTGTAGAAGAGCTGTAGACCTATAACACTGGCTACCAGGACTTGTGTTTGAGGGAAAAATTCAGACATGCCGTCAATAAACTCACTCGCACTCCGCTGCCATGATGCTGTTTCTGTGCGAGCCGCTAGTAGCTGTCTGCTCCTGCCCACCGCCGCGGCCGAAAGTATTACGTAACCGCGTAACTACGCAACTACAAACTGACCACGTTACGTCTGCTTCCTGCTTCGCCTTTTATTTATTTTCACAAATACAATAATCGTTTCACAAACCTGAAATGATGTTTTAAATAAAATTTAGCCTCTCAGAAATGATCTAGATTTGACAGCTCTAGGCATAATTGTTTTTGTTTGGACTTGGTTTAATGTGGTCGACATGCTAAAAAAACAAACATAAATAATCCTTCTTTGTATTTTCACAAATAGAATAAAGGTTTAACAAATCTGAAATTTTTGCTTCTCTGTGGAAACAGGTTCCAATTTGGGTGCGGGAATCAGATAACATCACCACTTTTAAGGCTAGACTTGAGACTTTTCTGTTTAATAAAGCTTTTAGTTAGGACAGGGTTGAGCAAACTAGAAATTATTATTAAATTTTATCGTTTTATTTAGTTGATTTTATTCTCATTGTATTTTATTATGTGTTTTGTTACATGCATTCTGTATTTTATGGTTAATTTCAATGTATTTTGTAAAGTGTATTGGGACCATGTCTTTTGGTGATTTTGCACTTTAAATAAAACCTGACCTGACTTGACATTCTGGTCCATATGTGACAGCTCTAGGCATAGTGCTTCATGATCTGGACCTGGTTTAATGTGGTCTAGAAAATAACATATAAAGCACACTTTTTTTTTTTTGCATTTTCACAAATAGAATAAAGGTTTCACAAATCTGAAATGATGATTTAAAAAAACTTTAGCCTCTTTGTAATATCTAGTCCAGTTTGACAGCTCTAGGAATAGTGGTTTTTGATCTGGACCTGGTTTAATTTGGTCTACATGATAAAAAAAACAACATAAATCACCCTTTTTTGCATTTTCACAAATAGAATAAAGGTTTAACAAATTTGAAATGATGATTTAAAGATACTTTAGCCTCTCTGTAATATCTAGTCGAGTTTGAGATCTCTAGGAATAGTGGTTTTTGATCTGGACCTGGTTTAAGTTGGTCTACATGCAAAAGAACAACAACATATAATTCATCCTTTTGTGCATTTTTACAAGCAGAATAAAGGTTTCACAAATCTGAAATGATGTTTTAAAGAAACTTTAGCCTCTCTGTATTAATCTAGTCTGGATTTGACAGCTCTAGGTAGTGGTTTTTGATCTGTTTCACTGTAGAGGGCAGAGTTGGCCACAGTTTGCCGGAAACTCATTGTAAAAAGTCGACGAAGAAGAAGACCCGCGATACACAAGCAAGAACCCGCAATGTTATTTCAAAGTAACAACAGAATGTTTTTACTGATATGAACAGTTTTATACATTAATATAAACGCATCTAAGACATAATGCGTAACGTTACTTGCACATAGACGCGTGTGATGTTATAACACGGCAGAAACAATCAGAGATTTAAATGTTTCATTCACACAAGCTAACGTTAGTTCGTCATTTGTGAGGAAAGTCTTAAAAAATGGAGGAGATGGTGATGGACTCGGAGTCAGCAGAAACATCGGGACCTGCATCACAACTAGGGGTATCCGATGCTTGGGAGACTGTCACTGCTGCTTTGGTAAGTAGGCTCTATCAGTGGACTCAAGACGCGAACATGGAGTGAAGCGAATGCGCCGAATTCCATTCAAATATTTTATGATTTTATGTTTTCTTGCTTGTAGCAATGGTTCACACCCAGTTGGACATGATGTAGGACAGCGAAAGAATTAGTAGGGGTATTCGGTTAAATTCGGCATACATATAACGCTGTCTTCGACTTATTTTTATCTGTCTGTGTTCTACTCTGTTAGCTAACTTAGCTGTTAGCTAACAATTCATTCAAGTTGTCAGTCTCCTCCTGATAAACTTATACTGTACAATACTGTATTCAAGACCAGTAGACTTGAATAAAAGAGTCCAAGACCAAGGACAGTTCAGTCTGAGTCAGTCCAGGTCTGGAGTTAAAGTCAACTCTAATCCATCCCTGGCAAACGCACTTTGAAAAGTGTCACCAACCATTTTCTATCCTGTGTGCATTTTTTTTGGTAATCCAGGCTTGTAGAACAGAGACCAGCTGTGGAGAATTAAAAGTAACTATAAAGGGGCCTCTGTTGAGAACTGAAGACCACATTTCAATATATCTTTTGAGTACTGACTGAGTTGTCTGTCAGGAAACTAGTTCAAGTTCAATCTTTATTGTCCCACAAGGGGAAATTTGATTTGCTATAGGGTTAAAACAAACCTACATGAGGCATAAACAAAGACAAGGACAGCCGTTATATACAACCTCTTTTGTTCGTCTAAAAGTACTCAAAGAGTTAAAAAAGTTAAAAGGTAGCCTCAACAATCTATCGTTCTGAGCAGCAGCTCAAGCTCAGTGCAAATTTAGGGCATTAATTTCCGTGGGTGTAAAGGAACATTTGTATCTGTTTTTATTTTATTTTTCTGAGTACTGACTGAGTTGTCTGACAGGAAACTACGCAAAATCAGACCAATATTGTCTTATTGTAGACTTATAGATACTGATGTAAGAAACAAGACATAAATCTAGAAATAGTGTCTACATTAAATTTTTTGTCCACCAACCCAAGCGCTGACAAGCTTTTTTAGTTTTAAGTGTCCTGCTTTTCTTCTGAAGATGTCTCCTGGCTGCTCGGTGACGGAGCAGGACCTCTCTGAATCATTGGCCCTGCTGTGCAGTCAGGGTCTGGGCCGGCTGCTGGGTAGCTGGCTGCTGGAGACTCTACAGATGCGTTTGTCCTCCTCTGTGGTTCCCGAGTTCTGGTCCGGACTCAAACAGCCGGAGAACGAGCTGGAGGAGAGAGGCAGGGCCTGGGTTCTCCTCACCGCCTTCCAGACTCTGTTGGGCCGGCTGGAACCTTTCCTGGGCAAGTAGAGAAAAAATGTTATGCGTCGCTAAGTTCACTGCTGGTTTTCTTTGTTTACATCAACAATATTCAAACACCCCCTCTTCCTCTTCTTAGGTGGTTTGGAGAGGCTGGGGACGTGGCAAGACGAGGGCCGTGGCAGTCTCTGTGGCCCGGGGCCAAAGGGCCTCCAGGAGCGGGCCTTCACCATCATCAGGGCCCTCCTCCTCTTCTCCCCCTCCCCTGTTCTCCAAGAGCGAGTGCTGGAGTTTTACAGCAGGACCTTCTCTGTCTATATGAACCAGGTGGGGGAGGCAGAAGACGGGGCCGAGGTTCCAGACGGCCCGGAGAGAGGGGTCTGTCGGGGATGCGGGGTCCCGACACAGCAGTGCTGGTGTCAGGAGGCCCTGGAGCAACTGCAGGAGTTTAGCCACATACTGTGAGTGAACAGTGAAAATAACATCCTGCTGACCATTTTCAAACTGTTTCCACACACCCGTTAGTAATCTTTTTAATTTATAACTTATCCAATATCTATAATGGGGTGCTATTCGTCTTTTGTCAATACCCTCTGCTGCACTAATCCATACTTTTATATTAACAGTTGATCAAATAACTTATGTGTAATAAAAGTGGGTTAGTCAGAGCGATGAACCCACAAAGATTTATCACTAACTGCAGTTTCCCCTCAGAGTTTTAGCCTCTTTTAGACCTTCGGTTTGGTTTTGCCGCAACATTTACTGTCTGGTTCATCTCAGTGTTGCAGGCCAGCTGCAGAAAAGCTCTGATAAACCAACTGATAAACACTGTACACGACCTGCTCAGCACGTCAGCAGGCGATGAAAGTGGCGCATTTAGCAGCTAAAGAGCCAGATACATATTTCTGGCAGGAGTGGAGACCAAAACCAGAGATCTGAATTAGATTAAACAAGCTTTAAAATTAACTGTGAGAATAGCAACCACAAGGTTACATAAAACCAAAACAGACAGCTGCATGTTGCAATAACATTCAGATTACTATAAGAATAAAATTACACTTACATAACAAAGGAGTCGAATTAGCTAAAATCAGAGTAAGCTATATGAACAGAAAAGTGATTTAATAAACTAATCCATGAAAATATTGAATTTAATTTGATAGTAGACAACATTATTTGGTTATTTAAGGTCACCCAGTTTGAACCAGTTTGCATTTATATTTTTACATGTAACATCTTACTCTCAGTGTTTCCTCTCCTTAAACCAAACAAAATAACAATAAATGGAGTAATAAATATTTCTCCAGTGTGTGTCTCACAGCATGATCTCTTTCTGGAGCTCCTTCCAGAAACTATTAAACCCATCAGAGAGCCTCACTGCATGCCTCAAATACTCCCTAAAAAGTTTCATATCGTATACGATGATTTATATGTTGTTGGTTTTTTGCATGTAGACCAACTTAAACCAGGTCCAAATCAAAAACCACTATTCCTAGAGCTGTCAAACTGGACTAGGTTATTACAGAGAGGCTAAAGTTTCTTTAAATCATCATTTCAGATTTGTGAAACCTTAATTCTATTTGTGAAAATACAAAAGATTTTTTTATCGTTGTAGACCATATTGTTTTATTGCCCAGCACTAGGTACATGTTATGTATGTACTTCATATGAGGATGACTGGTTGAAGGTTATTTTTCATTTTTATGCGGTTGTAGTTCCAAACTACAGTTGCTGGAGTGGGTCAGCTCCGAGGCCGTCACCTCCATCCTCCACAGGCTCATCGAGCAGCGAATGGAGCAGCACTGCAGGGGAGAATACGAACGCTCTTTCCTGCTGGAGTTCCAGAAGGTAAAACATCCGTCCGTCTGTCCGTGATCACAAAACGCTTAACTGCGTGGCGTCTTTGTTATTTTAAGCACGTTGCGTTTCTTGTGAGCAGTGGCTGGAGCTGGTGCTGGGCTGGCTGAGCAAAGTGTTTGCAAGCGAAGCGGACGGAGACGGTCTGGTATCTGCTCCCGGTGTTCCCAGCGTCCAGACGGGCCACGCCACCAGCTCCGTCCTGAAGCAGTGGAGATGCCACATGCACCAGTTCTTCTGCAGGATCTACGTCAACATGAGGATCGAGGAGCTCTTCAGTATTATCAGAGGTGAGAGAGAAAACGGCGTGTCCTGAAGATTT